TTTGTTGGATTGTGTCACCCATTCAATGGTTTGTTGGATAGTGTCACCCGTCAATAGTTTGTTGGAGTGTGTCACCCATCAATGTTTGTTCGATTGTGTCACCCATCAATAGTTTGTTGGATTGTGTCACCCATCAATAGTTTGTTGGATTGTGTCACCCAGCAATGTTTTGTTGGATTGTGTCACCCATCAATGGTTTGTTGGAGTGTGTCACGCAGTAATGGTTTGTTGGATTGTGTCACGCAGTAATGGTTTGTTGGATTGTGTCACCCATGGGACTGGGACAGCCCTTTGCTGTTACTACAACGACATCGCAACATGTTCTGTAAAATTGTGGTGATGTATTTCATCCTGTTTAGTCCCCGATTTGAACGTGTTCTTGGCTTGCCCCAACGAGATGAGAAGTTATTGATAAATAATCTATTTACTTGATTTTGTAAAAACAGCTTCAATTGTTCACAGATAAACCAGTTCTATAGCATAGGCTCTATTTGGAATATTGACTTCTATCACTTAGGGTGTTCCCTAGTGGTCCATTAATCCAGTTATTAATTAAGGTGAAAGCGCAGTCATCCGTTATACCGACTTACGAAGGAGCTTTTAACCAGGGGGCTGGTACCCTTTTTAGGAGAACGGTTTCTTTCCACGGCGGGGGGGTGGGGGGGCTGGGAATGGGGAAGGCGGGGGGATCAGGGTCTAAATTAAAGGGGTGATTTGTGTCTTTTGAAGTGGGGTGGAATGAGGTACTTAAGCTGTCTGTGTGATACCTTCAGTAGATGACATGTGTCGTCACAGGAGGAGAGGAATGTATCGTTACTTGGGGGGGAGGGTGGGGGGGGTAAATGAAGCGCTTCAGTGATAATTTAGGTTCGTATTGCAACAGAAGCAGATGAAAAAGGCCTAAACCTTTTTTTCAGTTTCTTGAAAAGTATAAATAAGGATATACTCATATTGAGGTGACTAACTCGTCACTAATACTCGTCTGCACGTTGCAGACGCCTTTTTGACATTTCTTACCCTGTTTACATACGGTGATAAAAAAACAACCTGTGTGAACCGGTTTTGTGCTGATAAAAGTGTAGTATGTTTCAGACTCGACCCGGATAATGAGACGCGTGCGATGCTTTGGATCATCATTTTGACTGTAATCATAATTCAACGGCGCCGTTTCCACTCATTTGATTTCATTGGACTTTGATGGAATTTCTGATGAAGCTGATAATAAATCCGGTAGGGTAGTTGGGGGGGCATTTAGCTGTGAGTCGGAGATGTACGGAGAGTCCAATGAGTATTTTACAGACAAAGAGACTAACGACATGGTTGCTTATAGCTAATTCTATAACTCTAGTTACTTTAATTCAGCGTGTTTGGAGACACTGAGAGCGCGCTGTCCTCAAACAGCCTGCCCACAAATTTTGCATAATTGTGGTTTTGGCAAGACTCAACCAGCCCGGGCCCGAGCTACTTTGCATGCATTCGGGTCGGCCTGTTGCGGAGTGCTCTTATCTGCACAGATGGGAACTGGATGGACCGCGAGCACTCGACACTCAGAGCGCATTCGGACCGGCGACCCGCGGGGGGGGGGCGGTGGACTTTCTCTTTCCATCGCGATGGCTCGAGTACAGGGTTCCTCTGATGGTCTTGCTGCGAGTGGAGCTCAGCATCTCCGGAGAGAAGGGGCGTCGGCGTGCCAGCACGTCTGCAGATAACGTGCGTGCATGGAAATAAAAAGCATTCCGTACATACGTGTGTGTGTGTGTGTGATGAAGATAAGAAAAAAAAAAACCTTAAGGCCTGTAACTGAGCGACGGGCACGTAGCGGATGCCAAACACATGCAGTCATCCAGCTGATGGCGCCTGCTCCGCCTAATGACATGGAGCAGGAGGCCGGCTTCGAGGGGGAGTAACACCTCATGAGAAGGTGCCGGAGAGCGAGGGCGACAGATGGCGGCTCCCCTGAGGGTGCGTCTCCGTCTCTCCCTGTTGATGTTTAATGTCCAGCAGGGACAAGGAAGCTGATTAGCGTTATTCTTTTTCTTTTTTTTTTCCCCCACTGCCTAAAGATGATGAATGAGATGATGACTTTGTGCGTGAATGAGGTCTCTAGCTCACATTTCACAGATAAACTGGTTTCATCCCTGTGAATAATTCTCTAATCCAGTTGCATCATTGGGCTGCAACAATGAAACTTTGCAGAGAGGTCACCTTTTCCCCGCGCGGCGGGATTAAATTCAATCTCCCGGCCTCCTCTCTGCCTCTTAAATCCAAGGCCACCGTGTTGCTGGGGGTCGTTAGTAATTAGACCCTGGATGGAGCGGGAAGATGAAGTGTGATGCGCGGAAAGAAAGCCAATGAAGTGGAGAGAAACTCACCGCGTGTGCCTCTCTGTGTGTCTTTTAGCAGTTCTGTCCGTTGGTTCTTTTCGGCGTTCTGTGTCTCCACGTCTGCTGGAGGAGACGAACGGCAGGATGGAGGAGCTGGGAGCAGCTCCGACGTGCATCAGGGAGGCTGCTTAACCGGATTGGGAGAAGCTAATCGGATCAGAGGTCACTCTGGCTCATACTCGCACGTGGTTATTTTCCATCCTCCCATCACAGGCGAGGCTGCGCTCTCCGAGGACGGTGACCCGTCGGCTGCGTTTGTCCGGACATGTGTGTTTTATGGCGTGGCAAAGCGCTGAGTGGTGTGATGTCCTCTGTGTGGAGAAGCAGTTGTGGTTTGTTGCTGTGTTACGGGCCGCTGTCAACATTGATGGGTAGTTTGGTGTCATGTGATCTAAGCCGTTAGCAGTCACTACTTTTTAAAATGAAAGTGCAATACTCAATAATTCAGTACATTTCAGTCCTTTTTAGAGAAGAGGATCGACGCTTCTCTCTGTTCTACTCTTTTCATGTTTGTTGGAATCGGAAACATTTCCCGGGCTTGTACAATTGCAGCGAGCCGGCTTTTCTATTTCTGGGAAACTCTAAATGTCGGCGCCGTGCCCCCCTCCCCCCCCGCGCCTTTCGCCCCGGGACAGGAGCGAGCCGTTCCCGGGGGGGGAACTTGCAGAATCGTGTGGCATTTCGTGGTGAAATAATACCTGCAGTTTGCGGAGGAAAAAAGTTTGCTGGAAGAAGCTTTGGAAAAGGTCAGTGGTGGTGTGGGCAGGTTCAGGGGACAGAACGGGGGGGGGGGG